GGGGGGGGGCGGCGGGCTCGCGCAGACTTTAGGAGGCGAGCGAGCGCCGCGGAAGGGATATACGCAGTGTGTGGTCCTTCCCTTCGCGGATCCGCGTCGCTCTTTTTAAGGTCGGCGCGGGAGGAGAGATAGGAGGGGTCATTAAAAGTGAGTATCGAACTAAATCTCCTCTTCGCTCTTCCGAGAATCATACCCCGCCCCCGCGCGCTTGTCGATAGGCACTAGTAACTCCCCAAACGACGGCCGCGCCGCTGCCTCGCTAGCTGCCTTCGCGGAAAGGAATCTAGTTCGCCATCAAAGAGCTACAGGAGCAGCGGCACCACCGAGCCACCACCTCCAACTCAAATCATCGCTCTAATTTTTTTTCACGTTTATACTTCGCTAATTGATCCGCAGAAATAACGATACGAACAGCAACACGAGCATCAGATCAGAAGCACATACGCTGCGCACGCGCGTTCTAGCATGAGTGTTCTGTGCGTGAGCTCGGCGTGAGCGGGACGCGGCAGCCTTGTTCCTTCGAGTGCCGCGCCACCCCCTCGGGGCACGCGTCACGTGACAGACCGCCAGCACGGGCAACAGAGGCGTCAGGGAGGCGGCGAAGAAAACAAGACTGATTTAAAACTTACAAAAATGCAGTGCAGGATTAACGCGCTCACCTTTACGAACTTTACCAAAAGTTCTTTCTTAACAGTATTTGTAAATTTTGAAATATATTTTTTTGAAAATATTTTAGTGTGTGAAAGAATATGTGTAACATGCAACCAAAAATCAGTACATATCTCGAGACCTTACGAAACCAAAGGTCAATCAAAATTCTGCAAAATGCCATAACTATGCAGAAGTAATTAAACATTGTGTCTGTTGTTTTCGTTGCCTTCCTAGAGAAGCAAGGTCCCTAGACGAATCACGCTAATCGTTTTCCAAACGTCAGAGAGCGAAAAAAAAAAAAAGATAGTAATTCCGCACGTCGAGAGTTTCTTCTTCCAAACTCTTTAATCACGGCTCCGAATTATTAATCCGGAGTTCACAATAGATTGCGCGTCTTTACTTCGCACGATCGGCAGAGATGATCGGTCAGCGACCGCGCTGCTGCTCTGGGGCCTGCTATGGCGCCGCGGGATTTTGCCGTCAAGAAGACGGTGGGGTGGTAGTGGCGGCGGCGGCATCGTGGTCCGATAGAGAGAGAGAAGGGATACAAGAAGTGAGGGCTGCCCAAGAGGGACGGAGAGAGAGAACTACTTGTGATTAGCGAAACACGAAAACGGCGCCACTCATCTATGATTAGCGGTGCGTGCGGCCGGCTCATCACACGGCAGCAGCTCTGGCTCTGGTGCTACCATTCTACCGTCCGAAACCTCCCCGCGCCCCGCCTCCGAGACCAAACGGGAACAACACTGACCAGCAGAGTGACCCCTGCTTAACCAAACCCCCTGGCAGAGCTTGACAGCCCGCCAAATTGTTGGCCCTCCTGCCGCGCGTGATCATCACCGCTCCAGGAAAATAACATCTTCGTATCAAAGGCGGTGAGGTCACCGCGCCCCGCCAAACCCAAAACCTTCGCCGCTGCTGCTGCTGCCCCGCGGGACCGACACTTTTGGACGGATCACGCCGATGTTATTAAACAATTTCTTCCCGATACCAGCCCACGACGCCTAATTTATGGGGAAACGATTGACGCATCCGCCTTTTATGGTTTCGCACCGCAAAACGGTAGATGACGTCGACGTCGGTGGTTTTGCTGGAAAGATGGTGGCTGCTGTCTTCTGTCTACACTCGATGAATTAGTTTTAAGAGCCGGGGCGAGCCGTATCGTCATCTTGCATTAACGGCGCAAAAGAAAACGAAGACAGGCGAAATAAAACGGGCAAGAGATCATCCCGACACATTACCGCCAACCCGTAAAGGAAA